TACGAAACACCCTGAGTAGACTAGGAGTGGCAGTATTCATTCTTAGCCGCTACCAGATAGTTCAAAAGCATTCGTTTTAAATGACTTACAATCAGTTCCTTCTCAGCGCGGCCCAGTTCCTTGCCCAGCTTCAGGTTGGCTGCTATCCTCTTGGACTCTATCACGCTGAGTCTTGGCTGGTCGTCCTGCATGATGTAGCTGGTCAGCATCTAAATGACTTACAATCAGTTCCTTCTCAGCGCGGCCCAGTTCCTTGCCCAGCTTTAGGTTGGCTGCTATCCTCTTGGACTCTATCACGCTGAGTCTTGGCTGGTCGTCCTGCATGATATAGCTCGTCAGCATCTAAATGACTTACAATCAGTTCCTTTTCAGCGCTTCCCAGTTCCTTGCCCAGCTTCAGGTTGGCTGCTTATCTCATGGACTCTATCACGCTGAGTCTTGGCTGCAGCAGGTCGTCCTGCATGATGTAGCTCGTCAGCTTCTTGAAGATCTGCATGTCTTGTTGGCGGAATCCGGCTGATTATAGTAGGTGTATATTTAGCCGAGGTCAAAAACTACTTCGCCTACGAAACACCCTGAGTAGACTAGGGATAGCAATATTCATTCTTAGCCGCTACCAGATAGTTCAAAAGCATTCGTTTTAAATGACTTACAATCAGTTCCTTCTCAGCGCGGCCCAGTTCCTTGCCCAGCTTCAGGTTGGCTGCTATCCTCATGGACTCTATCACGCTAAGTCTTGGCTGCAGCAGGTCGTCCTGCATGATGTAGCTCGTCAGCTTCTTGAAGATCTGCATGTCTTGTTAAGCTATTGTTGGTTGAATCCGGCTGACTGGAGTCGGCAGATATTCAGCGGAGGTCAAAAACTCTGCGTCGCCTTTTATGAAACATCCTGAGTAGACTAGGCGTGGCAGTATTCATTCTTAACCGCTACCAGATAGTTCAAGAATAGAGTGCGCGTAAAAAGTAGGAACTGATGGCAGTAGTCTGGGCGCACCCTCTCTGTCTGTCAGTAGCAAAACGACAGTGACAGCACTACTTAACCTCTATAACTTCTCATACATTTGACGTGTGCAACTGCTTAGGCTTTGACAGTACGCCGCAGGGCCTAATGCGCACTCTATAGCTTGCTTATAATTTACTCTAAGGTTCAAGAGCATTTGTTTCAAATGACTTACAATCAGCTCCTTTTCAGCGCGTCCCAGTTCCTTGCCCAGCTTCAGGTTGGCTGCTATCCTCATGGACTCTATCACGCTAAGTCTTGGCTGCAGCAGGTCGTCCTGCATGATGTAGCTCGTCAGCTTCTTGAAGATCTGCATATCGCGTGCGTGGCCGTTCACGGTGACGCATCCGGTCACACCGTTTGATCTGAAATGAAGAATTACACTTTTAGTTTTTTTCATAGTCGATGGGTAGAGCCCGCCTAATGCCAAGGCGATGCGATTTCTATGGTTTTCAACATAAGTGTAACAGAGACAGATGCGTCTGTCAGACATGCAATTTCTATGGTTTCCAACGTTTCCAACAGAATGAGTGTACCTAACAGAGACAGATGCGTGTGTCAAACAACGCAAGCTCATGTGTTAAATAGTATGGGAAATTCCCTTCGTTCGCAGTAGTTTCATCATAGTTTCATTGAGTTTAGTTCCATGACAGATGTTCAAAACAAAACAAATTACTGCCAATACTGCACTGGCCAAGCCAGTTTATCTACTCGTGACCATCGAGCCATTGAGTGACCTCTACGAAATTTTGATCAACAAAAACAATATACCTAGTCGTTGTAAACAAACATCCCGTTCTTATAATTTAAGTAAATAAGAAGGTCTTTTGTTTTCGGTGATCTTCTGTTTATCAAACTGTTATCGTCGTACTGATTCACGTGAGTAATAATTCGGTATTTAAAATAATAATAGTGATCCCGGTCTGAATACCTATCGATGCTATGTGTCATGCATGTCATGAATCCTAAAACCAGACGAGCAGAGTTTGCGGAAATCACCTAAGTTCAAGGTCATAAATATGCGAATTTCATGGTTGACTGCTTGCCTAGTGACCGTTGCTTATCTGTATTTTCACATGGATGCACAGGACACCTGCTGCCGGACAAAGCTGACTCAGCATTTGCATGATTACCAATGGGTACAAACTGACAGATTTACCTATTTGTAAGGAAACACAAAGAAAAGAAGATTTTAATATTTTAGTTTATTTGCGAGAAAATTTACATTTTCTTGTAAGTGAGCATTTGGTGTGATAGGTAAGTAGATCAAACAGTTGCCAAGATTTCGTGACGAACAGTAAAGAACAACTTCAGAAGGAAAGTATGATTTTTATTGTTTAGTTCGAAGCAGAGCCCAACAAACTGCCATTGTCGATGACGAAACTGGAGCCAGTGATACCTCTTGCTTTCTCACTGGCCAGATACAGAATCATGTAGCCGATTTCATCAGGATCCGAGACTCTTCCCAAAGGTGTCGTGGTCTTCAGGCTATTAAAATCGATCACCAACCCCATATTTTTCATGAAGTCAGTGACTGTAGGTCCTGGATTAACACAATTCACTCTGATTCCTGAAGACGCCAGTTCCAACGCTGCTCCGCGAGTGAAATGGTCCACCGCTGCTTTCGACACGTAATAAGCCAGAAATATTGGGTATTGCGGCGTAGTCTTTGCTGCCAAACTGGACACGTTCACGATGCTTCCCTTAGTAGCTGCTAAGAAAGGAGCAGCAAGAGTAGTCAAGTTGATGACAGCACGTACATTTACACTCATGACAGCGTCGTAGGCTTCAAGAACATTTTTATCGAGTATCGTTCCAGCTTTACCCATACCGGCATTGTTGACCAGAACATCAAGTTGGCCAAACTTATCAACGGTTTCAGTGATGATTCTCTTTGCATCTTCGTCTATTGAGACATCAGCGTTGATGACAAGTGGTTTTTTGCCAACAGCACGAACTTTAGCAGCAACTGCTACCAGTTTCTTTTGGTTTCTTCCGACCATAGCGACATGAGCTTCCTCTTTGGCGAAGAGAATCGCTGTGGCTGCACCAATGCCAGAACTAGCTCCAGTCACCAATACAACTTTGTTTGAAAAACTCATATTACAGGGTTTGGTATACACGCGTGCTATACAGACAGATCTGGGCTTAGTTCTGATAAACAATAAGACTTTCAATTCATTTTAAACTAAATAACATGTAGTTACCTACTATGAGCTGCATTTCGAGTTGCCCTGATAATTGTCTTGGTAATTCTTATTACTTGTACGATAAACCAATTTATCTTGATCCCTGAAATGGGAATTGTAGGTGTTACAAATACTTATATATCAATTAATAATGGTGTCCTCCAATTATTTCAATTAAACCATGAGGTTCAGTGCACACTTTAGCACTAATTTTATAAAATTTGTTTCTGTGATAGAGTTAGGTGTAGGTACTCAGATATTTTTAGACTATAAATGGGAAATTGGCAAAATAGATTTTTTTGACCACAGGTATATCCAAAATCCATGTCAAGAGCATATAAATACCTATATAGATAGATACAAGATTCTTCTTTTCAAGTGAGACATTGAGTCGCCCAACGACCCGATGAACCCTGGTGTCAAAGATTTTTGAGATACAAGATTAATTATAGCTGGTAAGATGAGTGAAACCACCTCAATATAATCAACCCTTCTTGTTGAGAATTTACCATCTGTCTCAATTAGCCATAAATAATATACCTACCTACAGTTTAATCATATTTCTTTAGTTTAGTTATTAAGCTGATCGTCATATAATTGTATATATTCAAGCAGTTTATTAATCGTATAGGTATAATTAGATAGTAGTATAATGATGCCATAAGGAACTTTGCTTTTTTAATCATTAAAAGCCCTATTTTATTTTCTTAACCATGGGGAGTAGGTGCATTAAATTTATAAAAATATCAATGATGGATGAATAATGATGCTCTCTTATCCATGAACTCATCCCTTAGTTGACTTTTAAAACACCTACAGACAGAGATGGGGTAATGTTATTTTCAGCCACGCTGCCAACATACCTAGCATTAGCACCGCGGTCGATCAAAAAATCTACGGCAAAAAAGTCATCGACAAAAGAATACTTGGTTTCGAAATATACCGGGAGTAACGGAAAGGGTATAACAAGCCGAAAAGAGGTCAAGGTACTCATGGAACTGAACAACTTTCCCCATGGAACATGGGTCGAAATGTAAAAAAAAAAATTGGGCCTCCCATACAAAATCGCCGATCAGCCAATTGATTTACTATGGAAGGTCCAAATTTTTTTTTCACATTTCGACCCATGTTCCATGGGGAAAGTTGTTCAGTTTCATGAGTACCTTGACCTCCTTTCGGCTTGTTATACCCTTTCCGTTACTCCCTGTATACCTATAATACGGGGTGTTAGGGACAGTGTAACAAAAACTTTGCAGGCGTGCTCAGACCATGAAACTGAACAACTTCTACGATGGAGCCAATGGTGGGAAACGAAAAAAAAATTCCGACCTCCTATACAATGTCAGTCAGCTGATCGTGAAAGCTGCGTTTCCGTTAATGAACCCATTCCCGAATCGCAGGGTGATTCTAATTCTAAGGCAGCATCACACTAGCCATTCACAGTCCCCATGAAATATGCGGAACCCATTATCACGTGCGTTTATTCTGCGAAACCACGAGTCAAGTTGGCTGGGTCGGGTGGGGTTGTGTGTTTAGGACCCTGGATCTTTGCTCTTAGACCAATTACGGTCAGGTTGAGGCTTACCGGCCAATAATAGGGAGCCTAAGATGAAAGGGTGTGATCTGTTTATTTAACTTCCATTTAAGAAGGTCAATATCACTGGTAAATAAGGACTTAATTTTTTGCCGACTGCCTCAGAAAAAAGGTTCGATCTCTATTTCGAGAGTTCGAAATTCTGTTTCTGGCTAACTGTTCAAGGGCTACAGTCCAAATAAGCTTTAGTGATGCAATTTTGGAAAACAACGACTAAGCCGCAGTAGCCCAGATGAAAGAGGCGTCGCCAGTACGAATAACGAAAGTAGCAGGTTCCAATCCTGCCTGCGACAAAAAAACGTATTTGAAGAAATTTTCCACGGGAAGTTATCTGGTATCCTATTTTGATCAAAATGTACATAAGGATGCTTACTTGATCTTACAGGATATTTCCGAACCGGTAACTCTCGTGTAACCCATAAATTACCCACAAGTAACCCGTTAATTTGTCGTAAATATTTACTTGGGCGTCCATAGGCCCAAGGCCCGGCATAAGTTGTGTGTTTAGGCCCATTCACGTTCAGTGGCTAGGATCAAAAGCTTCATCACCAGAATTGATATTGTAATAATATTGTAATATGCTGGATGACCTCGTGTGGAGTTTGATTGACGTACCTACTTACTAAGGCCCTAGCTACACACATTAGACGTGAGACGTAAGACATTAGACATCGCGATACTTGAAACCGTTTAACCATAACAGCCACAAGAGTCCACTGCTGGACATGGGCCTCCCTATAGGGGGGTATTGCCATACTCAACTCGCTTGGCATTAGCGAGCGCAGTGCAAGATGTTGCATTGACAGGGATGTCGCATCGATGACTGACGATCACTATTCTGACAGATGTCATCTTACGTCTTACGTCTCACGTCTACTCTACGAAGTTTGTGCCTTAGACCTGAATTCAGAATATTAAGACGGGACGATTTTTATTCAAAACTTTAATCGACTTATGTAAAGGAGACAAAAAACTGATTCAATAACTCGATGAGAAGTCTTATGTCTTTCTAAATACCATTGTCGCAAAATAATAAAAATATTTTTTTGTCATCAGATTTCCCTGTAAAAACCGTCGACTCGATTCGAACTTTACGAAAATAAATAGAGGATACTGCTGCAATAAATACGTTTGATTTTTTTGTGAACATACTTATTATCTTTTAACCATAAATCGTTTTGCGACAAATTTACGTGTGCCCAGCGTTATCAGTGCACACTTTTTTTTTAATTCAATTTAAGTTCAGTTTTTCATTTGTATGACGTGACGGTCCAATAGTATTACATGATTTAACTTTTAGCTAAGGTTGGTTATCAAATTTTTTAGTCCTCACAATTTTATTTAGAATATTTTAATGGCACCAATGGTTTTACTTGCCATTTTGGGGAATAAGGGAAAATTGGATTTAATATTTAGTATCAAAGATACGGAGAAATTCTTAAATCTAATATTTTAACCCCACAAAACCAGTTTCTGAGGGATAATCGAGTCTCTTTATAAATAAAAATGTTTTTTTAAGTCAGGATTATCAGAGTTATTAGTTTCGCGTCTTATTCTATTATCAATAGATGTGGTTACAGTTTTCACTTAGGTACAGTCATCTGCAGAATTACCTGGCTCCTTGTCCTACCACGGGGGGTCGGCTACCAATGCTTGTGATCGTACCTATCATCCCTGATCTGCTTGATAGCTAGGTAGCAATGCTATAGTCCGACAAGTTCGCGCGCGACCTTCCCTAGGGGTGACAGACCGTGGGGGGAACGAGGAGTCCAAGATGTCAGCGGGTAGCGGGAGCTGTAGCGGGAAAGGAAGACGCGTGCATCCGTGCCGCACGTCATATTAGAATGACGTGCTTCCTTGCCTCCCCCAACCGTCTGTACCCGGCAGGAAGGTTGCGCATGAAGTTATCAAACTAGGTATAGTCTTCCACCTGGGATCAGTTGGATTAAAATAGGAGTAGGTACTCACACGTATCCCGCCAAGATGTTGAGTAGCGAGGACTTGCCAGCCCCCGAAGGTCCCAGTATGCAGGTCAGCTCGCCAGATCTGAACTCGCCAGACACGCTGTGCAGGACGGTTTTCTCGCCTGAAACAAGAACGATAATGTAATTTTTGGCAGTTGATTCTATGCCTGTTATAATGGGGTAAGGACATGATAAGGTAATGTTCGGTTACCTGAACTACAAGATTCAAAAAACTAAAAGACAAAGTCAATAGAAATTTTCCGAAAATACAAACAGCACGGAAATTTAAAAAATCGTGGAACGTACAAGGGGATGATTTGGATACCTCTCGTATTTTGTCTTTTAGACGTCAGTCTTTGGGCCACCCTGTAAACCATCAACACCACGTCTGACAAACAGATCACGACAGTGACAAGTTGTCGGCCTGTCGCCTAAAATTGCAATACATGTAAACTCACAAATCCCTTAGTCTTGTTACGACACCCACGGGAAAGACACGGGGTGATGCTATTCTAAGCCGGCACCATACGGCATAAAATGAGTATTTTATACAAACGCATCACAATAATTTATAAACAGTCACATTTTTCCTCGAAATGCTATAAATAAATAAACCATCATCTTATTGCATACAACTTCTCAAGCCACTTATAAAGTCACCAGGTTAATCTGTTATAGTGCGCGATGATGGGTATTTACTTAGGCATTTACATGTAGGTATTTACCTTGTATTTGACACGACACACCATTAGGAAAAACAAGCCTTAAGGTACGAACTAAATGCATTATGTATGTGACGTAGTTTATGTTCATGAAAATAAACAACGTAAAACACCTAAAAGACTTCCTGTGTTGCATACATTGGTATTGTATGTATTAAATCAACGGATGTATACTTTAAAACATATATAAATAATAATATTTAAATAAGCATATTTTTTGGTGAAGTGAGTTATGTACTTAGGTATTGCATTTGAAAATGCATTGGTGGATTATTTCAGATGAGGGCAGTTATTATTTCACTTCTTATGGTGTCATCTTATCTACTGTTGAAATTATTAAAAGTAGGGAAACATGCGGACAATAGGTACATAACGAGGTACGTAAGTACATTCCGTGAGTATAGCAGATAAAACATAAGTAATAAGTAATGTGCTAAGTAGGTAAGAGATTTTGTTGTGGAGGAAATTGAGTAAGGCGAGTCGTAAGACATGAGACGGAGACGTGATACGTGCGGCATCGCGACGCTTGAAACCATTTCCATATATAAAATGTATGAAACAGAAGTGACGTCGTCTACACACGTGAGACGAGCATTAAATCGATGACGGCTGACGATCATTTGTCTGACAGATTTCATCTTACGTCCGCGTTGCACGTCTCATCTGTGAAAATAGCTCCTAAGTACCTACTTTTGACATTACACGCGTCACTTTATAATAATTTTCAAAGAAAAAGTCACAGTTTATTTGTATAATTAACCCTACTTTAATAATATACTACGTTTTCAATCTTATACTTTAGTAAATTATTAGTTCTTTGATTGTTAGGTATAAATTTAAGTACAATCAGCAGTGCATCAACATTGCTACAATATAATGGATCAACTTATACTTCTTTTTTACAGCTATCTACTAAGAATATAGAGATTAAGGTTTATTCTTTAAATGGGTAAGTTGATGTGTAGCTGATAGTAACTAAAATTCTTCGATTATCTCGATTATAATAATCATACCACCTACGATGGCTTATCTATATTTATGCCTAATCGACCTATAGGCGGTCAAGGCAGGCCGGAATTAAAAAATATGTTTGCGCGTGTCTTTAAAATCTAGCTGTTTATGACGCCGCACGCCGCAACATTTTGCGTTTTTTGACATCCAGCAAACAAATGCCAGTGATAGCCGCACCGCACGTCGATAAGGTGACGTGTGGCATGGTTTCCGATGGATTTGCGGCATTTGCGGCATTCCTGTGTGATTTGATTATAGTCGAGAAGACCACTGGCTGCATTCGTGACCGTATGGCGCTCCCTTTCTCACTTGAGTTTACCACCAAGTCACAGAACAGTATATAATATTAACGAGTGGGAAAAGAGCGCCATACCGCGGGGAATGCAGTGAGAGGTCTTCTCAACAATACTGTGATTTCTAAAACGCTAAAAGTGAGTGCGTGTGTGAGCCTAAAAGGGTCAATATCTTTAGTTTTACGCGAAATACAACTGTTGGAATTCCATATTGGATTCGGATTCGGACTCACGTAATACCTAGGTAATTGGTTAGGAAGTCTACCTTGAATATTTTAGTATCAAAAGGTTAATAAGGCTGCGTCCCCAGACCTACGGCACGGCGCCGGCGCCGTGGATAGTCACGGCGACGGCGGGCACCGTGCCGTGCCACGGTGTACACCGTGCTATGGCACGGCGTGCATCACGTCGGCGTCACGGCGTGCGTCACGTTAGCGTCACGGCGACAAAGCTGACGCGGGTATTATATATTCTTTGGTTGTTGCTACTGACACTGGCCACTAAGACGGGCAAGTATTATCTGGGGGCACGGTCGCGCTCCGGCCAAGACAAGCCATGCAAAAATATGAAATAGATATCGCGAGGGCAAAAGCATGAGAGTATGAGTACGAGACTATCATCAAAAGTATTAGACTATCATCTTAATTAAATTATAACAAAATAATGTCACATTCTGAAAATAAAACAAAGACTATGTGGTCAATCATAAACAGAAAAACTATAAAAAAACGACATAAAGAACATAAAACTAAATTATAATAACAAATCCATTGTATGTCCCAAAGCTGTTGCTAACTGCTTTAATGAGTACTTCTCGACTGTGGGTAAGTCACCGACTCCGACAACAGATGCTACGCTGAGTTGTGGCAGGAATAGCGGCCTGCTCGCCAGCTATCAACTCCCTATACTTACTTGCGATCGGTTTCTGAGCGGGAAGTATCAAATATAATAAAAAAATTGCCAAACAAGTATTGCGATGGTGTGGATGATATTCCACCTATGCTGATAAAGAAATGTGCAAACGTACTCACACCTCCGCTAACCTTTCTAATCGACCAGTCATTTGAATCAGGCATTTCTCCCGACGCGTTAAAAATAGCTGTAATTAAAACTATCCTCAAAAAAGGGGGCGCTGCTGCAAATAATATTAGCCAATACAGGTCAATTTCGATTTTACCATCAGTATTAGTCCGAGTTCTTAATTGGCAGTTTGTATGGAGGTATGGTCCCATCTGGCAGAAATCATGAAACTTGGCATGTGTGTAGCTTACATGTGTAAGCTTCAGGAAAAGAAGGGAAGCAA